GGTCTAGTGGATTCTTTCCTTCATAGTGGAACAGAGACAGGACATGAGTTTATAGCCAAGTGGGGCTGACTTGACATTGTTCACTCAAGGTAGCAGCCCTAGGCCAAAGGCATGGTGCAGGCAAGAAGGAAGGAAGGCCCCTCTTCTCACCCCGAGTTAGCCTCTGGTGTCTATAAAGGGATGCTACCACCAATGCAGCTTGATGACAGAGATGAGAGTGGGCTCAACCCCAGATTCACCTCCTACTGGGTCTGTAATCTTGGGTGGACATTTTAAACTACTTACTGTAGTCTGGGGTGGGGGGCGTTGGAGAAATGTCAGCCACTGCCTTGTAGGGCTGTTAGGACTAAAAGAGTTCAAGTTGTAGAGTGCTTGGAAGGAGCCATGTGTTTTCCCTTCTTTTTTAAAAATTTACTGGTATGTACTGCTTTTATAAAATAACAGGCTTCATTATGACATTTCATACATATATATGATATATTTTGATTATATTCTCCCTCTATTACCCTGTTGTATCTCCCTCCAACTAATCCCCTTCCTCTTCCCAATTAATCTCTTTTCTGTGTTTGTCTTTGGGGAGGAAGTTGTATGTTGTGTTTTGTGTGTGTGTGTGTGTGTGTGTGTGTGTGTGTGTGTTTCCCTAGGAGCATGGATAAGATGTTATTTAGAATCAATAAGATCAAGCCCATAAACTGCTTAGTGTACTCCCAGAAAGCTACAGTAAGTGGGGTTGACTTTTGCTGGGTATCAGCAACTGGATCTGGACTCTGGGGCCATCTCTCCACTCCTACCATGGAAAGGCTGGCCTAGGATATGGCTGTTTGTCTGCCGAGGGCAGGTGGAGCTCAGCCTTTCCTTGGGTTAAAATATAATTCCCAGCTGAATCTTCCAAGACTTTCTACTATTGGGATAAGCCTAAAAGCTGTGTGTGTGTGTGTGTGTGAGAGAGAGAGAGAGAGAGAGGGAGAGGGAGAGGGAGGGGGTAGGTACTTGTGGAGGCTTGAAGACAATCTCAGTTGTTATTCCTCAGATGCCATCCATCTTGTTTTTTGGGAAAGGTTCTCTCATTAGCCTGGTACTTATCAAGAAGGCTAGACTGGTTGGGCAGCAAACCCCAGGGGTTTACGTGTCTCAGCTATCCCATGACTACTCTATCTGGCTTAAAAAACAAAAACAAAAACAAAAAACCATGGGTTCTGGATATTAAACTCAGGTCCTCATGTTTGCAAGGCAAGCACTTTACCAAGGGAGCTGTTTCCCCAGCCCAAGAATTCTTGAGCTTAACTTACTGTGTGGGCTAAGTGTTTTCAAAGTTTTCCTGACTGCTGGCTCCATGACACCTCTTCAACTCCACCCCCTCCAACTTCTCTTGGCAGCTTCATCAAATTCTGTGACCACATATGAAACCTGCCAGACCTATGAACGCCCCATCGCCTTCACCTCCAGGTCAAAGAAGCTGTGGATTCAGTTCAAGTCCAATGAAGGGAACAGTGCCCGAGGATTCCAGGTCCCCTATGTGACATATGATGGTAAGCAAGAGTGTGAAGCTCGGGCTGCAGGGGTGGTGTGGCTCTGCTCTGAACTGAAGGAATTGGCTTCAGAGCTAGCTGGCAGATGCTAACAAGCACACCCACTCAGCCAGCCAGCCAGGGTGAGGCAAAAGGACATGGCTGACTCACTGCGGCCACATTTTAAACAGACATTTGGGTACACTTCCTGTAGGAATGAAAAAGAACGGTTTAGAAAATACAGGGAATGTGAGTAGAGTCAGGTGTGTGGGAATGTGGCTGCTGGAGTCAGCCAGCCAGCTGTCTGTTGTCTGTTCCAGGACTTGTAGGTTACTTATCATCTCTAAGCCTTGTTTTCTTCATTCCCAGTGGTGACCAAACCCAGGGCTTCTAACTCTGAGCTACACCTCTAGTCAAGCAGATTTCCTTTCTCTCTCTCTCTCTCTCTCTCTCTCTCTCTCTCTCTCTCTCTCTCTCCCTCTCCCTCCCTCCCTCCCTCCCTGTTCAAGATAGGGTTTCTCTGTGTGGCTCTGGCTGTCCTGGAACTCACTCTGTAGACCAGGCTGGCCTCAAATCTCACAAAGATCCATCCATCTGCCTCTGCCTACCAAATTCTGGGATTAAAGGCGTGCACCACCATGCCCGAAAGCCATGTTTTCTTAATGAGTGATGAAGTAAATCATTTGAGTGAACATTAGGAGTTCAACGTGGGACAGTTTCTGGCAGATAGTAATTACTCAAAAGTATATGACTTTTTCAGGTTGTGGTATTTATTAGACTGCTCCTAAGAAAAGGAAGAGGCTTAACTCCAGGTCCTGCCCCAATTTTGACTCTGTGATCTTGGGCAAGTTAGATGATGTTTCTGGATCCTCTGATCCCTGGAGACCTATTTAGACTCTGAGACTTGGTCAACAAATATTTATTGTGACCAGAACACCAAAGTGTGTATTTTGTCATAGGTGCTTTTACAGGGCATATACAAAGCTCTTCAAGTGCAGAGGGGGAGAAAGCAGCAATTATTCTGAAGAGGCTTGGAGGGAAAAATCAGTTTCAAGAGGTCTGGGTCTTGAAAGAATATGTAAATTGGGCTGGGACATAAATAGAGAGGAAAAATATTCAGGAAGAGGGCAAAGGATAGAGCACTAACACAACTGGGTCTGATTTGGCCAGTGGGTAGGGAGCACAGGAGGGTAAATGAGGGTGGGGCTAGCAGTGAGTAGCCAAGCTCAGGAGAGTAGGCTTAATTTTATAGGGAGCCATTAAAGATTCTTAGGCAAAAAGACCACATCCTTGGCTTTTCTAACTTGCCTTTCTCCCTCCCTCCCTCCCTCCCTGCCTCTTTCTTTTCTTTCTTTCTTTCTTTCTTTCTTTCTTTCTTTCTTTCTTCCTTTCTTTTCCAAGACAGGGTTTCTCTGTGTAACAGCCCTGGCTGTCCTGGAACTCACTCTGCAGATGAGGCTCTCCTCCAAGTCACAGAGACCCACATGCCTTTACTTCCCGAATGCTGGGGCTAAAAGCATGTGCCACCACCGCCCCAGCTACATAGTTTATTTCTAACACGTGACAAAGACTAGACTCTCATTCTACCCTGCAGTTGCTGCAATAATATGTAATGCCTAGGGCAAGGGCTCTTGGAATCTGATGTCTGGGACTCTGCTGAAAGAGACACTGAGCCTAGTGTCTGCCTGGAAGCAGATGTCTGACAAGCTCTCCTGTCTGAAGTCAGGGAGGAAACCAAGGAGACTTTAGGGCTTGGGCAAATGTTATCAAGGCATTGAGACATTTTCATACATCACACTTTATTCTGCCTTTGTGAAATATATAAATGTCCCCCTTTTAAAAAATCATTAATTATTTGTATTTTACATACATTGGTGTTTTGCCTGCATGTATGTCTGTAGGAGGGTGTCGGACCATCTGGAACTGCAGTTATAGACAGCTGTGAGCTGCCATGTAGGTGCTGGGATTTGAACCTGGGTCCTTTTGGAAAAGCAGCCAGTGCTCTTAACAACTGAGCCATATCTCCAGCCTCCTAAATGTCCCTTTAAATTTTTTTAAATTTTATTTTATGTACATTGGTGTGAGGGTGTCAGATCCCCTGGAACTGGAGTTATAGACAGTTGTGAGTTACGATGTGAATGCAGGGAATTGAACCCAAGTCCTCTGGAAGAACAGTCAGTGCCCGTAACTGCTGAGCCATCTCTCCAGCTCCCAAAATTTCCCCTTTGTAACTGAAAAAATATGAAAACAAGGGGCTGGAGATGTAGCTCAGTTGTGCATAACACAAATGAAGCCCATTCTCAATGTCCTAGCACTGTATAAGCCAGGTATAGTGGCACTTGAGATCCTAGCAGAAGCTGGCAGGGATGGGTGGAGTGCAGATGACAACTGCAGATGAATGCATTCTGCAGAAGGGCAAACAAGAGTCATGGTGACAGCCATTGGGCATTCCTGAGCATCAGGTGTGCACCACAGTGTCTTTTATGGGGCACATTCCTCATGGTCACCCCATGCATTGGTCACTTTCTGATGTTACAGATGAGGCCACTCGCTGAGAGATTCAAATAATTGACCTGAGATCATGACATGGCAAAGTTGCAAAACTGGGATGATCCAGGTCTAGTGACTTCAGAGCCTGAGTCCTTACCTGTGAACTTCTCTGTCTTTGAAAGGCAGAAGAAAGACAGGAAACAAGGAGATCTTAGAAACAGTGCGTGCGTGCGTGCATGTGTTTTAAAGACAACATTCTGGAAACATTTGGTATAATGGCAAAGCACAGTCTAGTTTTCTGTTATACCAGAGTGCACAATAACCTGCATTCCTAATAGTAGATTCCCTTTATGGAAAGAAGCCAGACCTCTGAGGTTCAGACACTGAACAAGGGTGCAAAACTAAAACTAAAGTAAGCAGGGCATGGTAGCACATAGCTGTAAGGCAGTACTTGATGGCAGAGGCAGGTGGGATCAGGAATTTGAGGCCAGCTTTAGTTACATAGCAATTTTAAGGCCAGCCTGGTCTACATTAGACCCTATTTTAAAGAAAAAAAGATAAATAAATAAAACTTATTTTCTTGATTTTACTATATTGATTAGGGCTTTGTTGTTGATGTGTTGGCCCTATAGCTCACAAAGTCACCATGTAGACCAAGCTAGTCTTGAACTCGTGCAGTTTATTAGAATAAAAGAGTGAGGACAAAGGTGCCACACTAGTAGTGGCAATGATACTAACTGTGCAGTGATGGTGTTCCATCACCATCTCTGGATGGAAGAAACTTCTTGGGAGGGCTCCCATGGATGCTCTTATAAGTCATGTGGCTGCTCAGCACATGGTATGCATACAAAAAGGCAATTTTGATGTGTCTTGGCATTGGAGAGAACCGTGCTCTGCATATGCTTCTTTGAGTTATAACGATGGGAAGCAGGCTAGACTTCAAAGTAGGGTGATATTACATTTGGAGAAGGAATACTGTGTGCACTGCATTTAATGTGTATGCCAGGACCAAAGAAATGATTAATGAGAAAGCAAGAAGAATCTCTCTGGTGATCAGAAGCTTGGTTACCTTACATAGTGCAAGGACAAGGAGATAGGGTGGGCAGGTGTTAGAGAGAGAATGAAAAGCCTGGATGAGCTCACAGTGGAGGGAGCATATGTAGGAGCAGGTCACCAAGCACAGAGCCCTAAGGCCCTCCTACAGGAAAAGGCCAGGGACAGGAGGAGAGCAAACACTCCCCAAGGATCATTCAGTGAAATAGTGGGAAACCCAAAGTGCAGAGTGTTCTAGAAGATGAGAGAGGAAGTGGATGAAGGAGGAGGGTGACCAGCCAGGTCAATGCTACTAATGCGTGAAGAAAAGCAAGGACCAACATTTGACATTGGGACACACAACATGCAGCTCATTGCTGACCTCAGAAGGTAGTGTTGGAGGAGTGGTTGGGACAAGACTGAGCACAGTGGGTTTAGGAGAAGAAGGTCTAGTTGTAGACTGTAAGAGTTGACTCTGTTCTGGGAACAAAAGGGGAGAGAGACATGAGATGGAAACAAGCAGGAAAGGTGAAGTTAAACAAGGCATCCTTAAGGTCAGTTTTCGTGCTAATGGGAATTAGTAGAAAGATTTTCGTGTAGGGAAAGTGTAGAATTACTAGCATAAGCATCCTTGATTTGGGAGGGAAGATACATGTGGTGTGGGAGGTGGAGGATGGGTCTTGACTGAAGGCACAGAAGGCCTTTCTGAGGGAAGGAGAAGGAGGAGGGCAGATGCTGCTGAGTGGAGGTGCTGAATGTCTTCTCATTGTCAGAATGGAAAAGTTCTCTGAGAGCAGCCACTGAAGAAGGACTTCTCAGGGTTTATTAAAGATAGAAGTGCAGGTTTGGAAATAATTAAACAGTGAGAAGCAAAATGTGTCCTTTGTTTCAACAGAAGACTACCAGGAACTCATTGAAGACATAGTTCGAGATGGCAGACTCTATGCATCTGAGAACCACCAGGAAATACTGAAGGTGAGTACCTGTCTCAGCAGAGAGGAAGGTAGCCATGAGCTCCCACATACAGTCCTACCTTCCAGACACTGAGCCTATGTGGACCAAGGTCAGCTCTATCCTTTCTGATGATTTAATGTTAAATAAATAAATAAATATATGTATATAATATATATTTGAGAATTTAATATATAATGTATTTTATATATACAGTGTATTTTATATATATGCAATGTAGTTTGATTTTGTCTATCCTTCCCCCTAACCACTGCCAGACCCTACTCAAGGTATTCCCTCCCCAACTTCATTTTGGGACACACAACATGCAGCTCATTGCTGACCTCAGAAGGTAGTGTTGGAGGAGTGGTTGGGACAAGACTGAGCACAGTGGGTATTTCCTTCCCCAAGTTCTCTCTCTCTTTTTAAGTAGCCAAGTGAGTCCAATTAGTAGTACAATTGTAGTACATACAATCAGTGTATGTCCACGGCTGTAGGGCTGGCCACTGGAATATGGGTAGCCTGTCAAGGACCGTGCCTCTGAAAAGTGAGTCTCTCTCCTCCAGCAGCCATCAACTAACGGTGGGACTTTGTGAGCTCTTCATCCACCCATCCTGGGCTGTGGCTTGATCTTGTACTGGTCTTATGCTGGCAAACACAGCCACTGCAGTTTATGAGTGCACTGGTTCTATTTACATTGGGCATTTGTGGAGGGACAGGTATGGAGGGTGCTTGTTTACGAATCCCAGTCAGGGGCATATAGTGTTTTTTGTTCAACTTGAACAGTGAAAGACCTTTGGCTCCTAGTTTATAAACTCAAAGCCTACCACATTTTAGATACTTGTAAGTAATTAATAGCAAATACTCACCTATCACTAACCCTAAACCGTTTTCTAAATTTCTATGTTGTATCTCATACGGTTGAGAAAAAACAGTTTTCATATGTCAAATGTTCTTTCATAAAGTAATGCATACTTATTACTAACAATTAAGAAAAATTTAAACTGGAAAGAAGATAAAAATCAGTGGAAACAATTTTCACAAAGTGTTTTCTAGCTAGTGACCTCCCATCAATAGTGAGTTATTATGATTCCATTGGCAAAATGCCAGGTTTGAGCGTTTTGGCCTGGTAACAAAAATTCTGTTCTCTTCAGGATAAGAAACTGATCAAGGCTCTGTTTGATGTCCTGGCACACCCCCAGAACTATTTCAAGTACACAGCCCAGGAGTCCCGAGAGATGTTTCCAAGATCTTTCATCCGATTGCTACGTTCCAAAGTGTCAAGGTTTCTGAGGCCTTACAAATGACTCTTCCCACGTGACACTCAGAACAGTATCCTACCGTGGACTCTGTGGGCTGAAGCTCAGCATGCCATCAGCTTGTCGTCATGCCCACTCTCAGTGACTCCATACAGTTCAGTTTTTATAGACAATACAGATATCTTGGTAAACTGAACTTGGGTTTTCTTTTCCAGCTTCAGATGTGGACTACATACAGCTTTGAGTAGTGCCAGCTTCTCATTGTGTGGGTATGTGTCCTGGATGTGTCAAGGGCTAACTGTACTGGCCTCCCTTTGGGTTCTCACTCTTCCAATGGTCTGTAGTGGAAAGGAGGCCACAGAGTGACCACTCTGGCTGCAGCTCCACTTCCTCAAGGCCAGCCCACTTCCAGGGAGCATCTGTACTCATGCAGAGGTAATCAGGCCAAACAGGCAAGCAGGAGGGGAAGCAAGCGCTCCAGGAGCCACCCGGGCCATCTGAGTCATGGGAGGGTTCCAATCCTCTCAGCCTCTATGATGCCCAGTTTAATCCTAAATGTGTGCATTCTGAGCAGTGGTGATTAAAAAAAAAAAGGCTAGAACGAATTAGAAATAAAAAGGCAAGTGGTCCCTCTTGGGATGCCAATAGTGTGCACACACGCAGAGGGCTGCTTGCAGCAGCATCCCTTTCAGTCACACTGAGCACTGTGCTAGGGCTTGGAGGATTCTTGGGTGTGATCTTGATGGATGACATCATGGAAGGAGACTTCACCAGTACTGCCAGACTGCCCCTGGTGCCAGGAGTGACTGGCACAGGTGTCTTCCTTTTTCAGATTCCCAGAGTGAAACAATCTGAGACGAAGGCATCGTCCAAGGGCAGTACTGCCAGACTGCCCCTGGTGCCAGGAGTGACTGGCACAGGTGCCTTCCTTTTTCAGATTCCCAGAGTGAAACAATCTGAGACGAAGGCATCGTGCAGAGCACTGCCATTCTCTGGTGATGGGCCACACACCTGTCCAAAGTGACAGTTGAGTCACTTTGGTCTGCATAGTGGGACTGCATAGTGACCCTCTCCCGAATAAACTTTACTTTTCAATATTGTTGGGGTTTTAAACATTTTAATCCCCACTCTTACCCCCAACAGGCAAAAATCTCATTACAGTGGGTGAAGAAAAGATTCTACAGTCTAGAGACGTAGCTCAGTGGTAGAGCACTTGCCAAAGATGTGCAAGGCCTTGGGCTTGGCCCTCAATACCATTCTCCCCACAAAAGAATCCTATCAGTCAAGCTTCCCTCTCCCTAATAGATGGACTGATTACATACAGCCATAGGATTTTGTTCTTTCTATGGCAATTATAGCACATAATTCTGTATACCAAAGTACTGAAAATGTTTAATAAGCATTTTTTAAAAGAAAACAGAGTATTTCATTATTATTAGACTTGTTTTTCCACCTCAATGTTGTTTTTAATATATTAATTACATTTTTTATAACTTTTTCCTTTTTTGAGACAGTGTCTCCCTACACAGTGTCTCACTGCATAGCTGTGACTAACCTGTGATCTATATGTAGACCAGGCTGGCCTCAAACTCACAGAGCTCCACCTGCCTCTGCCTCCCAAGTGCTGGGACTGAAGGTGTGTGTCACCATTTCCGGAGACATTGACATTTAAAGGCCCCAGTGAACTTTTAATTTTTATCTGGATGAAATTTCTCTCAAGAATTTGTACATCTTGCTAGGTACAGTGGCACCTGCAATCCCAGCACTCAGGAAGTACAAACAGGAGGATTAGGAGTTCAAGGTCACCCTCAGCTACATAGGGAGTTTGAGGCCAGTCTGGATTATAAGAAACCTTTTCTCAAAAAAAAAATGCTTTTAAACATATTCAGTTAAAAAAAATCATCAAGGGGCTAGAGAGATGACTCATCAGTTGGTCCCAGGTTCAGTTTCTAGCACCCACTCTAGGCAACTTACAACAGCCTATAACTCCATTTCCAGGTAATCTGTCACCCTCTTCTGGCCTCTTTGGGCACTGAATGCATGTGGTATACCCAAGCACATACCTATGCAATTTAAAAATAATAAATCTTTGTTTTTAATGTTTAAAAAGTTATTTTATGTGTATGGGTGTTTTGTTTACATGTATGTGTGCTCCACATGTACACCTGGCCCAAAGAAACCAGACGAGGATGTTGGGTACACTGGAACTGGAGTTACAAATGACTGACTTTAAGCTAATATGTGGGTGCTGGAATCAAACCCTGGTCCTCTGGAAGAGCAGTCATTGCATTTAACTGTTTGCCAACTCTCCAGCCTCTAATCATTTTGTTTGTTTTTGAGAAAGGGTTTCACTATGTGTCCCTTGCTAGTCTGGAAATGGCTATGTAGGTTTGGTTGGCCTTGAACTCACTCACCTGTTCTTGCCTCTTGAGTTCTGGGACTGAAAGTGTATACCACCATACCTGGCTATAAAATAAATCTTTTTTTAAAAAAATCATTAAAATGAATTTGATAAAGCAGAAAATCAGATTTCATGTGAATTAGTGACCCAGGTGATAGTGAGGACAGGAGGGTTGAACCTAATAACTTTGTGTTCATGAGAGTGTATTGTATTGCTTTTCCAGAAGCCGGGGGTGGGCATAATTAGGGGGTTGGCAGGAAAATGCATGGAACCAATGGCTTTGAAGTATGCTCCAGGAGCAGACCACACACCAGAGCTATGCTTCTGGTGCAAGTGTGAGCCTCTGAGGTCTTCAAGTTTCTACTCTAGACATATCAGCTGCCCTGAAAGATTCTGTGGCCCTGCTGGGAAGCTGCCTGGCTATCACAGCAGTTGACTACCTGCTAAGCCAACCCACATTGCATATCCAACCTGTGCCAGGTACTATTTTAGGCCCTAGAGATTAACCAAAGACTTCAGTAATAAGGTAGATAGGGTCTTAGACCTCATGGAGCTTGTGTTTTAGAAGGAAGAAACAATAAACTTGAATTGGTTAGTGGTAGGTGCTGTTATAAACCAAAACTGGTGTAACATTGGCTCTGTGGCTACTTTGGGTTTGCAGAGTGTAGAGCCTAGATGGGGATGTGACCTCTCAACTGAAAACTACATGATAAGGAGCCAGCCTGGGGAAACTAGGGGGAAGAGCATTGCAGAGAGAGGCGCCACAAGGGCAGAGGTATGGGCTGGGGCATACCTGTGTGCATGGAAGTCTAGTCTAGGCAAGTGACATATGACCAGGCCAGAGAACCACAGATGGGCCAGATTCCATCAGCAGTGGAATCAGGAGAGGCTTGGGTTTAATTTCAAATACCCTTCAAAGTCTGTGATGGACTTAAGCAGAGAAATGGGGTGGTTTATATTTGAGTGTGAGTGTGAGTGTGTGTGTGTGTGTGTGTGTGAGAGTGTGCTTGTGTGTACCTGCACCTTCATGCACACAGTTTCACACACATGTGTATATGTGGAGGTCAAAGGGTAATCTGATGTCATTCTTAGGTGCTATCCACCTTGTTTGTCATGACCAGGACTCTCACCAGCCTGAAGATCACCAAGTATACTAGGGTGGCCTGCAAACCTAGGGATCTACCTGTGTCCACCTGCCAGGCAGTGGGATTGCAAGCACACACCACTACACCCAGCTTAACTTTTCTTATGAAGGCTCTGGGGATGGAACTCAGGTCCTCATGCTCACACAGCAAGTACTTTATCTTCTGTGCCACCTCCTCAGCGCCCCCTCCCCAGGCTTATGTTTTTAAAAGGTACCATGGACTCCTATGTGGATGGCTTTGAGGAAGCAGGCACAGAAACAGTATGTAGGAGGCTGGTGCCACAGACTAGGGTGGGAGGGGGGTAGGTCTCCAGAGCTGAGTGTCCACCTTCCTGCCATTAGAGCTGGTTCTGTGGGTGAGTTCTGAGTAGGCATGGGAGCCTGTGTGCCCCACCTTCCAGCTGTGGATATTGTTATGTAGCCATGTACTGCAGTGCTGCATCTGTGGGTCCAGCAACACTCTCCTTCCTTTCCAATGCTAATGAGAGCCTGCCTTTTCACACCAACAGATGATTACCTTCCAAGGGGGAAATTGCTTCCTCTGAATCATCCTTTGCACTGTTAGTGCAGTGCCTATAGGCGTTTGCTGGATTGAAGTTTGCAGATGATTCTTACGTGGCATGTGGGACCTTGCAAAAGGCAAAGGCTGAATGCAGAAAGTAAGGATTCACTTGCCCTTGGGTAGAAAGATGGACCAGGGCTGTGACCTGCTGCAGAATGCCTCAGCTGGTCAGCCTGTGCACCCAGGGATTCCCCCTCCAGGCCCAGCTACAATCTTCTCAACCCAGAAGAGATGCCATTTGTGGGATTGTGTGCATCTGTTTCCTGCTCTGGACTGAGGTGGGTCCTGAGAGCTTTACCCATGTCTACACCACTTCTCAGGAGCATCTGACAGGAAATGGATCATCTGAGGCTAAATGACTCCTCATTCAATACAGGGATCCTTTTTACCCATGACTCCCTGATAGGCCAAAAGCAGATCCTGGAAGAGGCCAGAGGGACTCATCTGTAGGAAATTAAAGGTGACCATTAGTCTTCCTTGTCTCCTATGCTAGGGGTATGTGAGTCCTAGTATCCTATCTCCTTTCTGTAGGTATTCATATCAGCCTGCAAGAGACTGACTGGTGGCCCAGCAGGGCTATTCCGATGCTAAAAGGCAGAGAATATAGCCACAAGGTCACAAGTAAACTGGATATGGTAGCTCACATATGTAATCCCAGCCCTGGGAAGGCAGCATTGTGGCTGTCCTTTTGAGGCCTTCCTGGGCACAAAGCAAGCACTGGAGCAGTGAAGGATACAGAGCAGGACTCTGAAATTAGTAAAAGACACAAGGATTCATCAAGGATCTCTCCAAACAGCAAAGTAGGAACAAAATAGATTTAGAAGATGATAACACTTTAATTTACAGGCAAGCTGTTCTAGTTGAATTAAAACAACACAGATTAAGCCCACCTAACACAAACAATGGCAACAGCTCAGTGTTGCTTGGTTTTCAGTTTCCCAGGGAAATGCAACTACAGTCTTTAGTTACTAATACTTCTGTGTTGCATGTTTGCTTATTCATTAATTTATGCAATGTATATTTACTGAGAGCCTACTAAGTACTGGGCATTGTAGGAGCTAGGGGTATGGCAGTGAACAGAATAAATCTCTGTCTTTGGTGAATTGAGAGTCTGGTGGGGAAAGGCAAAAACCAAACAAACACGAAGGCAAGTATTGGAGATGGACAATGAGTTTGTAGTGGCTTTTTTCATTAGGATGAGTTAATCATTGGAATCGTGCATCCAGGCCCATCAAGGGCACTGGCTCCTCAAAGTAAGCTTGGCAGCACTGCCCTGGCAAGCTCCTTTATTCACCCAGCAAGAACTTAGCATTGTGGTGACACCAGGCTAACCATAGCACCAAGTCACAGGCAAGTCCTGGGACTGGTGCCACCTAGTGGTTGGAAAACAGAGTTGACCTGTGTTTCAGTTGCCCTTGCTATTTGCATGGGAATTTAAATGCCTGAAATTCAAAATAAAATGCTATCAAATTGGGTTCTGAAGGTCAGGGCTGATCTTTGATAAATGATTGACCACATGCTGAATTGATATAGACCACAGAGAGTACTGGTTTAGAATCTCAACTCTGCTTGGCCTAGTAATTAGTCATTGATTTAGGTGATTTCAAACTATTCACAGTACTGTCACCCCACCCCCACCACCTACATCATCACTATTCATTCTTTTTACATCCTCCCAGGTTCAGGGGTAGAGTGTTTGGTCTCCAACTGGTGGGACTATTTTAGGATGTGGGTCCTCCAAGGAC